GTGTGGGGAGGGGGGGGGGGCGCAGAGGGGGAGGGGAGGATGCATGGGTGCTGGAGGCCAGAAGTAAAACAGACATATTCTAGCTCCCAGCACAGAAAACTATAAAGCTCTCTCTGCTTGTGTTATCAATTACATATTTACTTTGTTAGCATGAGATAGATGAATATTTCTACATACAAAGGTGCCCAGCTAAAATCAGGCTAAGTGATATTAATGTCCTATGGTCAGTATTATTGAACCTCAAAAGCAATAAACTTTATGAGTCAATAAATATTACATTTGCAGCATAGTTAACATTCCTTTACTGTCTCTAGCTCTTATTACACATGGTAACTGCAAGTCTACAATACATTATTCATATTTGGGGTGTCACCAAGTGATGGATTGCTGTGGGAGAGGCTGTCCTTTAAATAAATCAACAAATAAAAATGCAAATGTTAACATTTTCAGCCACAACTTTTTCCATCTTGAATGGGGAATGAAAATTTCACATTATATTGACAGGCAGCAGAGAGAACAATTAACAACCTACACTGTGAATGAGAAAGATGACTTTGCCACGCCTCATTTTATCACCTGCATATGGAATGATGGGGGGTTTCTAGGTGTTAGCACTTTGCAGAGAACAAAGGGAAACCTGTCTCCCACTAGCATACGTCCCACCCCCATACTTTCTTGCAAGACTTGCAAATTCTTGGGATTTTGGGGTAGACAAAGGTCTTTTACTCTTGTTTACCTTAGTATTAACTTCAAAGATTTGTTGCAACAAAGAACAATAGATTTTTCTTTTGCATTGAGTTCCCTGTAACTGAAAAGTAGTCTATATAAAAAAAACAAACGCCTTTTCTACACTTTGAAATAAAAATAATTCAAATAATCCCGATTCTGAAGTCTGGAAAGCAACCACTGTGCCTTCCTGGTAACTGATTTCATAGCACTGAATCTTTTTCAACTCTGCACTTTGTAGAATAGACCTATAACATGCCATTGTGCATGTCTAAGGACAAAACCTGGTGTGCTACACATTGTTTCTTTAGCTTTAGCTAAATGCTCATTATTTAAGAAGCTTCTGAGGATCTATATTTAGCTGATCTGCAGTATTAAGAACCAGCAGATACAGAATCCTTTTTCTTAAGGTCCATAAATATGCGTCTTCACAGCAATTTTTACTGGCCTTGTAAAACCCTACAAAGTTGATACGGTCCATTCAGAAATTGTGTGCTGAGGATGTTCTATAAAACTTCCTGGGAAGCACTTGTTTTTACTTTTTCATGCTTCTCACTAAACTGAAATGCAAGAATCAAACACACATTAAAATAGTGTTAAAGGTTCCATTTTAATCTCCAACAATAGGGAAATTCACCAAGACTAAAGATCTGGGCTCGCCCTCCCCTTTGCCTGTAATTCCTCCAGAGGACTGACTCCCTGAGATGAACAAGGACGGATCCTCTGAGCCCAGGCGTTCAGCCACAACGTTAAGCTGCCAAGGTGGAAACTCCATCAATATTGCAGAACCACAACTCACTGTGGGTCTTTGGCAAAATAACAACAGCAGCATTAAGAAGAAAAAAAAGGAGTAATAAACAAAGCATGTGGTAAATGAATTAAATTTTCTTTTGATTGTGGGTGGCCTCCAAAATGGGAAGTTGTCTTGGTCAACTATTTTAATATTTAAGATGCTGGCCTTTGGGGCCTGAAACACTGGCTCACCTTTCATTGGCTATGTGACTTTAGGCAAGTCCCTCAGTCTCTCTGAGCCCCAGTTTCCTTATTTTTAAAGTGAGGGCGACAGTAATACCACTTCACGAGGCTGCGATGAAGATTAACTAAGTCAGATGATGCACACAAAGGGCTAGGAATATGCATGCTTATTGGATGAAAGACATTATTGTCATCCTCTGTGTCATTTCCCGAAAGTTTTTAAAATTAAAATTGTCTTAAAATTTGTATTCATCTCATAATATACTAGGTATTTAGGTGCTCAAACAATCATATTTCCAAGGAAAAATAAATCAAGCCCTTTTGGACTTGATATTTATAGTTTCAGCCATAGTATATAAATGAGAGTTCACTTATTAGATATGAGAATTCTTAATAACATATTTATTTTCCTATTCCAAACAAGACTGGTCAAATTATTAGCTCTCCATTCAAATTTCTCTGTTATAAGTAAATGTTGACAGTCTTTTAATTGTTGTACAAAATCCACTATATTTTTCAAAATCAATAATTCAGTTAGTTAAATTTACAGTCCAGTGTATAACCATTCTGTGATAAATTGGGAAGGACTTGCTGTTAAGCAGATTTTTTATTTTTATTTTTTTTATGAAGGAGGATTAGTAGTGTTTCCATGGAAATCCTTGCCAATTACTATTATCAACTAGGGAAGGCACGCTTAAAGAAAGGTGCTCATGAGCTCAACCAGCCAAATCTAGATGCCAAATAAAGACCTCTCTCCTGAGTATCAGCCATTAAAAGAATCAAGATTTTTTTCCCACTCTTTATTAAATAAACCTCAAAAATGCTACATGGAAATAAAAGGCTTCCCAAATGTAAAGGAACAAGTAAAAACTGTCACTATTTGCAGATGACATGATACTACACATAGGAAACCTTTAAGATTCCACCAAAAATGTATTACAATAAATGAAATCAGCAAAGCTGCAGGATATAAAAAATTAACACAGAAATCAGATGCATTTCTACACACTAATAGCATGCTACCAGAAAGGGAACTTAAGAAAACAATCTTATTTACAATTGAATAAAAAATTTCTAGGAATAAATTTAAACAAGGAGGTAAAAGACCTGTACTTTGAAAACTATAAGACTCTAATGAAAAAAATTGAAACAATACAAATAAATAGAAAGACAGATCAAGCTCATAGATTGGAAAATTAATATTATTAAGATATCCATATTACCTAAAGCAATCTGCAATCCCTATCAAAATACCAATAGCATTTTTAACATAACTAGAAAGAAGAATCCTAAAATTTGTATGGAACCACAAAAGACCCCAAATAGCCAAAACAATCTTGAGAAAGAACAAAGCTAGAGCTATCATGCTCTCTTGTTTCAAAGCATACTACAAAGCTACAGAAACCAAATCAATATGGTACTGGCATAAAAATAGACATATAGATCAATGAAATAGAATACACCACTGAAAAATAAACCCACACATATATGGTCAATTAATTTATGACAAAGGAAGAATACACAATGGGAAAAAGACAGTCTTTTAATAAACGATAATGGGAAAGCTGGACAGTTATATGGGAAAGAATGAAACTGGGACACCATCTTACGCCGTATACAAAAATTTACAATGGATTAAAAACATGGATATTAGACCTGAAAACCATAAAACGCCTAGAAGAAAACATAGGCAGTAAAGTCTTTGACACTGGTCTTAGAAATATGTTTTTAAACTAATCTCCTTAGGCAAGGGAAACAAAGCAAAAATAAATAAATGAGACTACATCAAACTAAAAATCTTTTGCAGAGTGAAGGGAACCATCAACAAAACAAAAGGCAACCTATTGAATGGGAGAAAATGTCTGCAAATCATACATCCAAAAAAGGGTTAGTGTCCAAAATATATAAAGAACTTACACAACTTAATACCAAAAAAACACAAAACACAAAAAACCAGATTCTGATTAAAAAATAGGCAGAGACATTTAAAAAATATATATATACAGATGGTGAACAGACACATGAAAAGATGCTCAACATCACTAATCAGGGAAATGCAAATCAAAACCACAATGAGTTATCACCTCACACCCACCAGAATGGCTATTATCAAAAAGACAGAAATAAGTGTTGGCAAGAATTTGGAGAAAAGGGAGCCCTTGTTTGCTGTTGGTGGGAATGTAAACAGTATGGAGGTTCCTAAAAAAATTAAACATAAAATTACCATACCATCTAGCAATTCCACTTCTATGTATTTATCCGAAGAAAACAAAAACACCAATTTGAGGAGATATGTGCACCCCTATGTTCAATGCAGAATTATTTACAACAGCCAAGACATGGAAGCAAAGTAGGTATCCACTGATAGATAAGTGGATAAAGAAGATATGGTATGAAAGTAAGAATCCTTGTTATTGTTTGGGTTATATTTTGATTTTTGAAACTCTACTGCATGAGTTCTGTCCAGATGCTGGAGGTAAGAGTGCTTGAATAAATCATCTTGTGAAACATACCCCCCCCCCCCACACACACACACGATGTATATATGTAACAGAATATAGCTCAGTCATAAAAAGAATGAAACATTGCCATTTCCAACAACATGGATGGACCTAAAGGGTATAATGCTAAGTGAAATAAGTCAGACAGAGATAAATACTGTATGATTTCCCTTATATGGGGGATCTGAAAAGCAAAGCAAAAGAACAAAAGAGAACAAACTCTGCCGAAACCGGTTTGGTTCAGTGGATAGAGCGTCGGCCTGCAGACTCAAGGGTCCCGGGTTCGATTCCGGTCAAGGGCATGTATTATACCTTGGTTGCGGGCGCGTCCCCAGTAGGGGGTGTGCAAGAGGCAGCTGATCGATGTTTCTCTCTCATCGATGTTTCTAACTCTCTATCCATCTCTCTTCCTCTCTGTAAAAAATAAATTTTATATATATATATTAAAAGAACAAACTCATAGATACAGGAAACAAACTGGTGGTTACAGAAAGGGGAGAGGTTGGGGGGGCAGCTGAAATAGATGAAGGGGACTAAGAGCTACAAACTTCCAATTAAAATAGAAATAAGTCATAAGGATAAAATGTACAGCATATGGAATACGACCAATAACATTATAATAACTTTGTATGATGACAGATGGTAGCTAGATTTATTGTTGGGATCATTTCCTAATGTATATATCAAATTGCTATGATGTACACCTGAAATTAATATGATATCATATGTCAATAAAAACAAAATTTAAAAAATGCTCTTCTCTGGAGACTGTTCAATCAAAGAACCCCTAAAGCTTACCGGGAGGATTCGGGTTGGAATGACGATGTGGTTGAGCTTAAAAGGTCCTTTTGGCGTTCTATTGTCATAGGAGATGTGGACGCATCTTTTCTAACTCCTGTCACTGTCCCTGTATGAACAATAAAGGAAACAATTTGGGAAGTCAATAAAAAGAAATGGAAAAGCCCATTCTGAGTAATATATTAGAGATGATAGGAATTCCTAAGTTTTGAAATTAAGCATTCCCTCTCCCCCTGTGAGATGAAACAATGACAGATGGAAAACTCAGCGGGTTGTTTTGATTTTGTGAGCATCAGAAATCTGCAATATCTTATTTAAAAAAAGTACATTTTTGCAGTAACAGACTAGAGGTTTTTTTAAAATATATATATTTTATTGATTTTTTTACAGAGAGGAAGGGAGAGGGATAGAATTAGAAACATCGATGAGAGAGAAACATGGATCAGCTGCCTCCTATACACCTCCAATTTGGGATGTGCCCACAGCCAAGGTACCTGCCCTTGACCAGAATCGAACTGGGGACCCTTCAGTCCACAGAATTACACTCTATCCACTGAGCCAAACCAGCTAGGGCTAACTAGAGCTTTTTTTTTTTTTTTAAATATATATTTTATTGATTTTTTACAGAGAGGAAGAGAGAGGGATAGAGAGTCAGAAACATCAATGAGAGAGAATCATCTATTAGCTGCCTCTTGCACATCCCCTCCTGGGGATGTGCCTGCAACCAAGGTATATGCCCTTGACCGAAATCGAACCTGGGACCTTTCAGTCTACAGGCTGAAGCTCTATCCACTGAGCCAAACCAGTTTCGATTAATTAGAGCTTTTTAGAAAACCCAGTTCCTCTTATATTCCTGCTGATTTGTGTTTACTGTGAAAATACCCAACATGGTAAATTGCTTTACTTCATTCCCCTTAATGATCATAATAAAAGATCATTCTTCTCTTGACAAAAATAGAAGATTCCAGCACTCTATATCTCCACCCCCCCCCCCCAAAAATCAAACTTATCTTGCCCTCAAAGCTTTCAAGGTAGTCATGAACCTTAAATGTTTCTTTCAAAGACTCTACACTGGGCTAAAGGAGGTATCTCACTGGAAGAGATGCTCAACCAACCATCCTGGGCCCATGTGGCCTCCGCTCCTCTCCAACAAGCAATGTGCATCATTTCTTTCCTGAAGTGCTAAATAAGAAGATATGGACATGAATATTTATTGTTATTGTTTGTTTTTAATTATCAATATTTCTAATAATAATAATGTCTCCTTCTTAATATTATTTTCCAAACAATACAAAACTTCCCTGTCTTTTTATGGAATGCTTATTCACAATCTTCTGATTCCTCAGAGACTATAATCCAGGTTGCTTAAAGAAGTTATTTGGAAAGATTCACTCTTTCTTTGAGAAAAGGGTGAATATTCAAATAACACAAAGATAGCTTTGGTGTGTTGGGAATACCAGACCCTAAAACACCAAGCACTCAGTCTGCTAACTTCAGGAACGGAGCAGTTTAGGTATGACCGCAGAAAATCAGAACTAGAGAGAGCAAGAGCATTCACCATGGACCCTGGCTTTCTAAACTATACTCAATATTAGCTGCTCACTGTTATGTGTGGACGTAAACCACCAGCCACTAAATGCACAATGGTCTTTTGTGTACAAAAACTTTTGGGACCCTCAACCCAAACCAGTACATTCTCACACTAGACATTAGTCGTCAGTCCACATGATGCATTCAGTCAGTAAATATTTGCTAAGTGCCAGGATTAAGCTCAAGCTTAGTTTAGGAGGAGGGGAAAGAAGGTGTGAGAGCAAGGGGATGAGTTATTCTCAACAATACAGTACTGTAAAGAATCAAAAATGACTCAAGGCAGTATGCAGCAGTAGCCACAGATACAGTATGCTCAGTATGTGCTTGACACTCTTCTAAGTCTTTTCCATATACCATACATTCTTTTTATAATAAACAGTTTCATTAAAGCATCATTTGAATACCATAAAATTTAACTGTCTTAGGTATACAGTTTGATAACAGTAGCAAATTTGTTCAGCTATGAAATCATGGGCAGTTTGAAATATTTTTGTTCTGGTATTTGCTTATTTTTACAGCCCAGTTTTATAATATTTCCACATGCCAAAAAGGCCCCTTATGCCATTTGTAGTTCCCTTCACCCTGACTAGTCTGTTACTGCCCTCCCCTCCCCTGCAGCTCTATGTCTATTGTTTGGCCATTTCATTAAAAAAAAAAACACAAAACTTTACAATAGACACTACTTTTATATCTAATTTACAGGAAATAAGCCATAGGGACTTTACATGACCTGCCAAGGTCACAAAGTCAGTACGTGAGGGAGCCAGCATTCCTATCCAGACATTTTGATCCAGGAGTTTTCACCATTCTGCTAGTTACTGCATATTAAATAGGATGAAAAGTCTGAGGAATTAACAAGGGAGCGAGATCACATCGGCTGTCGGGGAGACAACACAGGAGCTGGAGTTTTGATAGAAGGGATAGGGAGCATGGAATTAGCAGAAGCACTAAATTAACAACCTCACAGCTATCTGTTTAGTATATCCAGGAAATATTTATTGAGTATCACTATGTCCTGTTCCTTACTAATCAATTTAAATGCATTATCTCATTAGTCCTTAATTTATATTATTGCCCTCATTTTGTGGAATAGGAAGTGGAAAGTGAGAAAAGGTCAAGCTGCCTGTCCAGTATTACAGGGCTGTTCAGAGCAAGGCTGGGTTTTAAATACAACCAAGGCCTGTACTGCAAACTCAACACTGTGCTAGTTGGCCTAAAAAATAAAACAAAGCAGCAATAATGACCATTGAAAAAACAACAACTGGGCCCAACAGGTGTGGCTCAGTGATTGAGCACAGACCTATGAACCAGGTCATGGTTTGATTCCCAGTCAGGGCACATGCCCGGCTTTCAGGCTCGATCCCCAGTAGTGGGCATGTAAGAGAAAGCCTAACAATGATTCTCTCCCATCATTGATGTTCCTATATCTCTTCCTCTTTCTGAAGTCAGTAAAGCAACAGCAAATGAACAAAAGGAACCCTAATTTTTATGTAAATAAACAGCTTTCTGTAAAAAACAACTGGCCTTTGGAGAGATTATTTTTGTGCTGGAATTTAGAAGAGAGTAAGAGAGAAGGGAGGCAGGAGAAGCCATTTGCCACTCCTATCACTGTCTGGGCAGAGCCCGGGATGCAGGGGAAATTAAAATAAGCACCTGAGAGCAGTCGCAACCGAGGAGGCCTTGTGGGGGAGGTGAGATGGAAGGGCTGCCTGGGGGCGACGGAATAAATGTCTTTTTAGTCAAAGAGGCCTCAACATTATCTTTTTCTGTTTTGATACTTCCATCAAAAGTTTGGTTAAGACAATTGACATTTGATGGGAATAACAGGAAATAAAACTTTTTTCTTTTTTTTGTCTTTAACAGTCTCCTTTAATTATTTATATTTGCAATATGAAACAGAGGCTGGGCACCAACACACACATTCACGCCGGCCAGAGAGGGAACTGGGTCAAGGTCACTTGGCAATTGGGCTGAACCCCAGACCCTCAGGCACTGGAGGGGGACTCCAGTCTGACCCCACCAAGCCCCCACCCCATGGTCTGTGGGAGGCGCAGGGGTCTCGTGAGTGGGTTAGGGCCTCATGGGAATGTCACCAGAGAGCGGCCAGGTCCGGCGGAGGATCCTTGAGCTCCCAGGGAGAAAGTAAAACTTTTAACAGGGGGTCCAAGGACTTCTAATGGGATCCATGTATGTGCTTCAGGAATGTGTGGATGCCTCCTAAGTGTAGATACAATAACATGTGTCTATCTGCTCATTCATTTTCAGGGGCAAAGGGACCAGAGCTTTCATCAGATTATGAAAGGTTATGAAGCCCAGAGAAGTTAGGAATGACTGCACTGAGGCACAAAGCAACACCAACGGGTGCAGATCCATGGATGCACTTCTACTATGTGTGAGTACTATGCCTTACAGGAACTTTATTCCTTTTTTTTAAATTCTCTAGGCTCTATCCCTTATTAAATTTCTAGAAAGCCATATATCAGCTTTTAATTATATTCATTCCTTCTATAAAATTTGATTTAGTGTTTAGTACACCAACAGTTACATACAGTTATGCATATTCATAAAATTACACATTCCTCTATATTTACACACACACACACACACACACAAAGACAATATACACATTTAAAAAATAAAAGTGGTGGTAAGAATATTATCCATTAGGCTGATAAATTTCATATATAAGTGTATATATTTATATATGGGTAAATACATGTGAATACATTTATGTAAATAAACATATATTTCTGCATACACAGATGGAACTGGAGAAACAGCACCACAGACCTGGTGCCCACAAAGCAACACTTAGCTTCCCCCAGGTGGGACACAGGCCCTGCCACCACCCCAGAGTGGCAGCCCACCAAATCACAGCATACCCTGACAAGACCCCAGGATGCAAAATGTGGCCCATAGCCCAGCTCAGCCCAGCCCTGAAACTGTTGCTGTGGGCACTGGGTAATGATGTCACATAGCAATGCCCAGCTTCTTCTCCTTAGCGACTAGCCTCTTTGGAGTTTCTTCCCCCCCAGGAACATGACTTGTTTTATAGCCAGGTGCAAACATTTTACACTTTAACCAAATGTCTGTGAAGCATTTTCCTATGCCTCATCTCATTTGATCCTCATAGAAGTCCTGGAGTAAGTAGAATGCTATTTTCTTTTCATTAGCTGGAATATGAGATTTAGAAAGTTTAGAAACTTGACCTGACCAAAAAGAAGTAAGAAATGGTGGACCTTGAAAATGACTTCAGGTATCTCTCTGCATAGAATATAACACTGCTGCAGTTAAACATTTTACCCTTTGTTCTCCCTGTATGATCTACAATAATAATTTGCTTCATGTTGATATTTACTGCTGTATTTCTGACAATTACCTGAAAGAGAAGTTTGGGTGCTTCACTGGGCTAGAAAAAGTTTTGCTATATCAGAAAGCAGCTCTAATTAAGCAAGTTTATTCTATATCTATAAAAGGCTAAGTTGACTTGTGCATGTGTGATACAGATAAAGCTCTCACTGACACCAATCACATGCGTGTGTTTCCATCTGTCATTGTTGATCAGGAATTTGGTTGACACTTCTATTATAGAGAAAGGGCGCATAGTGATATTAAAATATTTCTTCTAATTATTTCCTTTCAATGTGCACAAATTTGTGCACTAAGCCACTAGTTTAATATAACTGGTGGCCTTATAAGAAGAGGGATATACCAGTGGTGTTTGCTCACAGAAAAAAGGCCTTGTGAGGACACAAGGAGAATACAGTATGTGCAAGCCAAAGAGAGAGACCTCATGGGAAAGACACAGGGAATTATCATGAAGAATGGACATGGACTACATCTTAACTGGGTGGCAGTTACATAGATATATACAATTGTCAATGTTTTTCAAATGCACAGGAAAGACCTATGCAATTTTATTGTATGTAGATTAAATCTCAATTAGAGTAAAAGAAAATGAAGAAACCCACAGTTTTCTTGACTTTCAAGGCAGTGCTACTTTTAAGACTCTAATGTTATCTTTTTGACATTGCCAATCAATCACCATAAGGACTCCAAAGGGACAAGCTTATGCATTCCTTAAATCACTAAATCATTGCAGGTAACGGGGTCAAAAGGTTCAACTGATTAGGTCCTTTTTGTGGGCAAGGACACAGAGAGAAAAACCAGTATCTATAATGTCACCTTAATTTACTCAACAAATATATAATGAACATTTACCAAATATTAAGCAATGGTTTAGGGTAATACAACAGTGGACATATGGGGTGCTTATCTTCTAGTGGGAGAAATGGAAAACATAAATAATAAGTAAACTATATAGTATTTTGAGATACTTCTTTCTATTATAGAAGATGGAAAATGTACAGGTTTTGGTATAAGTTATAAGATGCCATATATAGCAACTTCTACTCTCAATGCTAGTTTCTTGCATTTGAATTCCTTTTTTGAGTGATCTGGGCAGGACAATTTAATCTACATGTTTGGGATTAGCCCTGTACTATACTTATCTTCTGTGTTCTATTAATAAAGGCATCAACTTTTAACCAATCTTTTAGCTCAGCCTTCTGGAAATCAGAAGTGATATCTTGTGCTACCTTTTCTAATGATCAAACAGATAATCATAATGATGATGCTACTAAAAAATAAACACAAGTAAACACTCCTTAGAGGCAAGATTGGAATGGTTTCTGTACTTTGGATATTCCAGTGTGTTTTCTTTTCTTTTTTTTTAATATATATTTTTTATTTCAGAGAGGAAGGGAGAGGGAGAGAGAGATAAAAACATCAATGATAAGAGACTCATTGATCTGCTGCCTCCTGCATGCCCCATACTAGGGATCAAGTCCGCAACTTGGGAATATGCCTTGACTGGAACTCTAACTGAACCTTCTGGTTCATAGGTTGATGCTCAACCATTGAGCCACACCAGTTTGGCCTTGTTTACTTCTTTATTCACATGACCCATGACTCCATCACGGACTAGAAAACACTCGCATCGCTATGAGCCCAGATGCACTCAGAGGAGCAACTAGAGCTTCAGAAATTACTCCTCACTTCAGATGGGTCTTCCATAACCCTCTTCCAGTAAAAGACAAGTGCACATGGAAGCCCCCCTGGAGCCTCAATCAGTGACAGCTGCTGAATATACGTAACCTAAAATACCCAGAGACAAAATGAAAGGTGTGGTCAACCCGTCTGTAGATTGGAATTATTCGAGATTCAGCCTCTCTTAAACTCAGAATTTTAAGGGGATTGGGAGATCAATGAAAGAGGAATAAACAAGAGGTGGCTCTAAATGTAGCAGTGGGCTTTTGATGGCTGATGTAGGAGTTGGCAGTGACAAGCCCTGATCTACCATATCCATTTACCATGCGTGTTCAGTGCCTCACAGCTTCTGCCAGACCTTTCGCATAACTGAAAAAATCCCTCAGCTCCGTGGGCTCCTGTGAAAGGGAATCAGTGATTGCTCAGAAAAAGTTTGAGACAAGCCTGGCGAGCAGAATGACTCACAGGGGCCTCCCTCAATGACCAGGTATACCATAATTTTTGCTAATGCTCCATCTCTATATATAAAAGGCAATATGCAAAGTGTCCCCTTGGGAGTTCGACCAGGCGACCAGGAGTTTGATTGCTTGCTCTGAAGTGCACTGACTATCAGGGGCAGCATAGAACGAAGGAAGACCCTGGTGGGCAGCCGGAAGGCCCTGATTGGTCCTGATTGCCCGCCAGGCCTAGGGATTTCACCTGTGCATGAATTTCATGCACCAGGCCTCTACTATTAAAATAAAAGAAGAGAAAAATACGATAAAGCCTTTCTTATGAGTAGGAAAAAAAAAAAAAGTTAATTCTTACAAGTACAATGCCTTAAAACAAAACTCTTTAAAATATGAAAATGTTTCAATTTTTCACTGCAACACTTTACCACCACCTCCCCACTCCCCAAAAATGGGGGGGGGGGGGGGGGGGAGACACCTAATGAAAAAAATAATACCATGAGTGAAAGCTGTTCCTGAAAACTTCGCAGAATTGTAACAGCTTTCCCCTGGTTAAATTGATTGGTATAGCAACATTATAAAATGACTATTAGGTTTCATTGTGCACAACAGAAAGTGCTGAAATGTCAGCAGACTGTACAGCAAAAAGTAATGGGTTCTGAAACCCTGTTAGTCAAAAATGATTTTGTTTCAAATTAGAAATTGATTTTTTTTGGACACAAGCCCTTTCTAGGCTTCGGCTTCTGTGGCCAGGCCTGGGAGAGATTAACCTCCATCGTGGCAAGGGCTGGCCAGATACCTATCTCAGAGTGCCTTTTCCATTGCAGCTTTCTAGTGTGGCTGTGGTCTTAACCAATCACACAGGTTATTTGTCCCTTTGCTATTGCACTTCATTTTTCTCACTGTGGCATTTTATTTTAGTGCTGACATACAACACAAATTTGGTGACAAGTTAACAGAAGACTGCGTTAAGCCTTGCGGTGCAACCACCACACCGATTCTGACAGGATCTCCACTCTCAAAAGTGTGATGATTGAGAATAAAGCCTCGGAAGAGCCACCCGTTTCTGAAGGATCACTCACAGAGAGGGACGATAGTTCCATCTCAGGTTCTGAGCCTCCTGAATTGCATTTTTGTTTCTAAGTTACCCAAAGGTGATGGAAGTCTGCAGAACTTTTCACTATATCAAACAAAATAAACTTTTGCTTTTGTTTCAGATTGTGCCTAGACTCCTTCTGAAGTTTGGACTAATTATCATCAATTATCTGGGAAAGGATTAAATAATTTCTAGATTAATCACAATTAAAAACAAACATGACAATGCTGGCAGATGAAAGGAAAGAATGGAGCCATACCTGCAGCTCCCATAAAATGCCCACAGCTCTCAGGGAGCAGCTGAGAGTGGCTAGAGAGCTGATGAAAACGTGGCCACTTATACCAGACTAGCAGCCCGGTGCATGGAAATTCATGCACTGGAGCGTGGTTCCTCAGCCTGGCCTGCCACCTCTCACAGTCCAGGAGCCCTCAGGGGTGGGAGGTGACCTGTCGATCAAGGGCAGGCGATGCCCCCATCACCTCTGCTGCTGTCATTGCTGGCAATGCAAGCCTTAGCCGGCCCTGGTTACCTGATCCTCGGGCAGTCCTGGGTGGCTGGGCATCCGGCATCTGAGGCTTGCCTGCACCTCGGGCCGGCCCTGTGGCTGAGGGCAGGTCCGGCCACACTGTGAACCTGCTGCCCTCCTGGCTGGGCTTAAAGAACTGTGGGACTCTGGCGGCAGGTGCAAGGAACAATAGGTCCAGCCACACTGCATGCCTGCCGCCCCCCTGGCGGGGCTGAGGGGACTGGGCACTGCCATCTTGTGGCTATGGGTGCTGCCATCTTTGTGACTGCATGATGGTCAATTTGCATATTCCCTCTTTATCAGATAGGATATGGGGCAGGGCAAGTTCAATGGAAAAGAGGAAATCAGACGGAAATCAGGGTTAATGGCTGTGAGCAGGAAGGAGGTGTGAGCAGAGGGCACCAATGTGCTTTTGGCCCTTTGTTTCCGGGAGAGCTCTTCTGTACAATATGCCAGACTCCTCCCACTCTGCTCCTAAATCCTTCATCACTCCAGGAGAACTGGGGTGGTGAACACACAATACTCTATATGGATGATGTGTTAGAGAACTGTGTACCTGAAGCCTATATAATTTTATTAAACAATGTCACCCCAATAAATCCAATAAAAAAGAAAATAATAATTCTAGGAGAGATGAAGTCGGAGCCAACCAGAAACAACTGGGAAACACAATTACATTTAACTGCTTCGCTCAACATTTCACACAGTTGTTTATAATTGATTTAAAAAAAATATCCATGACATATAAAATAAGAAGAATCACTGGTACTTAAGACTGCTAGGCAATATATGCTTAAGACTTATGAGGTTCTGTTGCAGCCACAATGTAGAATTTATCCATGACCTCTCCTCCACCCTCCCCATATTTCCAGTTAATTGAAGATTAACTGTAGTTGTTAGAGTTTACTTTCCCGGCAGAGATTTATGTTCAGTTTCTTGTCCTCTTTACTCACTTTGAGCATTATTTTGTGTCTATGATCATACTTACTGCTGAATAATTCTTACGGTTGGCTGCTTGCAGAAAGAGGGACAAATGGGATAGTTTCTCATATGAGTATTCTAAGAGACATGCTGATGTAATTCACTGATCGGGATGGGATACCTATGGCCTTGCAGGCGCATGTCAGCTTGTGACATATTTAACCTGCTCAGGGTTGTAGGAAATCATCTGAAGGTCGTGGCTAGTAAGATTCTAAAACTCCCAAGAAGCAGGTTCTCATTTTGCTCCTTTAGATGCTATGCTTACCTCTTTGGGGTTGATATGTATCTGTCTTTTGACACGTCCACAGGGCATCCTGCTCCATAGGTGACTGAAACCCAACTGTCTTCTTCTCTCTTCTAGTCTCTACACTGCTACTGGACTCTTGCTGCTTTTTGATGGATGATGATGTTCCAAGCAGCCAACCATCACATGCTGACTTCAACAAACTGAAAAGAATAGATACGAGTGAGCTGCAGAGAGCACAGAAGGGGTACAGATTCCTCAAAGGTGTATATAATACATTCCGCATGAGTTGAGATAAAATTCATGGCAGTAAAGACATTCTTTTTCTTAATTTTTTAAACTGAGGTATAATTTAAAGAATTCTTTGAAGGTCTATTTTGTGTCCTGTCACAACAATGTTGGAGAAGAAAATGTCTTTCTCCTCCAAAAACCTGTACTTGGATTTGGAGAACTGAGACTCAAACTCAAGAAACTGCTAATAAAGCCACGGACAAAGAGCCAGAGCATCTGCAGAAGTAACAATAAAAGCAAGCTAAGCAGGATCTGTGTAAACTTTACACTGTAAAGGAAGTGCTTCCAAGCACCGAAGATGAACATCAGGAATTAAAATATCACCAGTTTGCTTCAAAGTGCATTTGTGTTTCCCATTTTCAATTGTTAGAGTATTTGTTATGTACCCAGTATATAGAAGAAGGCAGTACAACAGAGTATGTGGAAGATTTGGCCTCTGTCCCCTCTTAATTCCATTATAAAGTAACAACGTAAATATGGAGTAAGAGGAATTTTAATAAAAATAAAAACCTGCATATGCTTTGCTCTAAACTAAATTGTGTTCCCATCTTAGCACATTTCCTCTCATAACATTTTATTTTTTAGAGAGTAATGTTCTGATGATGTATATTTATCCCTTAATATTCAGCCAGCCTTTTCCTTCTAACGTAAGTTCACCACAGACTCATGACACTTTGGTTTCTCTTCTCCATGCCCATAGAGTAAAAATTAAAAGTGAAAAAAAAGAAGACTTTTACTCAAAAAGTAAAGTTCTAAACATTAAGATGTTTAAACTCCCCAGAAGCAGAGATAATATCTAGACAATAAAGACTGATAGCGTGTTATTGGATCCATTACTAAGCCCCAGTTGCCCTGGGGCAGAAGTCAAATCTTGTAAACCCATCAGAGTCAGTGGGCTTCTATTTGTATTGATCAGTAATGTTTGTTTATATTTTAATCCTATATAATAAAGAGCTAATATGCAAATGGTTATCACAATATCACATTGTAATGGCTCAGATGCTCAACATTACGGAGAAAGGAATGGGGACTAGCCAGGCTGCACTCTGGGAGAGGGTTGAGCTGCCTGCCCCTTGGTCCCAGGCACCAGCAGCTGGGGCTGAGGCTCAAGAGAGGGAAAAGCCACATGCCCCATGGTCCAGGGTGCCAGCGGCTGCCCCTGCAGCCTGGGAGAGGGACAAGCCGCCTGCCCTATGGTCCTGGGCACCAGTGCCTGTGGCTGTGGCCCAGGAGAGTGACAAGCAGCCTGTTCCACAGTCCCGGGTATCAGCACCTGCGGCTGTGGCCCAGGTTAAGCCACCCGCCGTGGTCCCCTGCGGCTGCAGCTGCGGCCGGCTAGAGGGAGGGAAGCCCAGGTCCTGAGTGCCTGTGACTGGCTCGAGGAGGAAATGCTGGGTCTTGGGTGTGGGACAAAGCAGAGGCAGTTAGGCATGATCAGGCCAGCAGGAGAGCAGTTAGGAACAATCAGGCCAGTAGGGGATCAGTTAGGGGTGATCAGGCAGGCAGGCAGAGGTGGTTAGAGGCCATCAGGCAGAGGAATTAGGGATGACCAGGCAGGCAGGCAAGCAAGCAAGAGGCTAGGAGCGAGCAGTATCAGATTGTGAGAGGTAGTCGGACATCCCCTGAGGGGTCTAGATTGGAGAGGGTTCAGGCTAGGCAGAGGGACTTTTTTTTTTTTTTTAATCAGAATCTAGGAATTACTTTCCCATGAGGAACACTAATGAATGTGTATCTTAGTTCATAAAACCTCTACTCATGGGACAGGAAAACAGGAAACTAAAACTAACTCACTGTGGACAGGAAAACAGGAAACTAAAACTAACTCACTGTGAATGTAAGATAAATAACTTACACCAGAAGCCCCAAACCCAGGCAAATCCAACTCTACATCTCTGCTTGTTAATGTGACCAAGACTACTACTGGCTTCCCCCAAGTTCACTCATTCTCAGCTCAGCTGAGCTCCCAACACCACCAATTCTGATCAGTTGTAATACTGATTGCTTTCTGCTTCTTTACCCCAGTTTACACAGAAGGTCTTCTGTAGCTTTATTCCAAACCCCTTCCTGGTAATCCTCTAACTCAACAGGGAATTTGGTTTCTAATTTTCCTAAAATAAGAATGACTGTATAAAAAAGTAGTTCTTTCATTTGCATTTATTCCCATCTTTACCCATTTGCTATTCCTCTCTTAATATCTCTAAAGAAAATCATACCTTTTATTCATACTATTTAAAATATATTTTTTATTGATTTGTTTTTTTTCTTTTGAGAGAGAGGAAGGGAGAGGGAGAGAAAAACACTGATGTGAGAGTGAAACGCCTATTGGTTGCCCACTATGGGAATCGAACTGTCAAGCTTTTGGTGCACAGGATGATGCCCAACCAACTGAGCCACTCCCGCCAGGTTTATTCATACTTTTGATACCATTTTGGCCCATGCCCTCTGTAACTACGGCCTGTCAATCATCTCCTTTTCTTAATAAACTCCTCCCTCCTCTCAACCAGATTTTGTCTCAGAATTATAAACGACATCAAAATTTCCATTAAAAATCAAAGCCAAACTTAAGCCTAAAACTTCTTAAGTGGATAAGTATAATAATACTTGATGTCAGTGAGGGAGTGGAATGACAGCATTTTAGTAACTGATGAAGGAACTGCACGTTGGTATTGCTCTTTTGTGGGTGATATGTCAACACAGATAAAATAAGTAAAAATGCATCTACCCTCCATTAGGTCTGATCGAACAATGGAATTGATATCCCCTCCCTTGAGAAACTGATCATTTTGTGATGACATTCCATTTCCCTTAGACCACATTCTATTTGCTAAGACTAGTAAGTTCCCCTTGCCTAAGATCTGGACCCACTCAGTAAACTCCCCTAGGAAAAAGCCCACTAGAGTCCTTTAAAAACTCTGACTCCCCGATCTCTCAGTGCTGCTGCCATTTTGAGGCTCAGCCCATCTGGTTTCCAGATGATCTAGTAAGTTTATAATTCTTTATCACTTCCTGCCTTGTGCATTCCTCCTTTGGAGACCCTAAACACCTTCCAGCTAATTCTGCTTTTAAGAAGTTATCCCATAAAGGATGGTCACAGCAGAATCTCTCTATATAAAAGGCTAATATGCAAAGTGTCCCCTTGGGAGTTCAACCAGGAGACCAGGAGTTTGATCGTTCACTATGTGCTGACCCACTAGAGGGTGGTGCAGAACGAAGGGAGGCCCCAATCAGCTCCGATCACCTGCCAGGCCTACGGACCCTACCTGTGCATGAATTTCATACACTGGCCTTCTAGTTATTTACAACAGTGAAAAACTGAAGGCAAAGATCATTCAATAGGAGAATAAGAAAATAAACTATGATACATCCACCATAGGAGTACTATTAGGCCATTAAAAGAAATGAGGCACATAGTTCTCCATACTATTGTGAAAAAACTTTATGATATACTATTAAGTTTTTACAAAAAGCAATTTGCAATAAAAGAATACACACGAGTATTTTTAAAGTTCTGAACATATAAATACCAAATCAGAGAAGTAGAAATTGAATGACTAAGAAAAATACTTCTATAATTTAATTTATATTCTTTTGAATATTCTTATTTCTTCTAATAGGCATGTACTTTTATAATTAAAAAATAAAAACTTTCACTATCTCCTTTATATTACCACTTCCTCTCTTTCTCCTCTCTGCCAAACTTCTAGAAACAGTAATTTTAGCAAACATACCTAGTAAAACTATTTTTTAAAGGACAAATCTAATGACCTTTTCATTTTCAACAGTCTTGCTTGTTACTAAACCAACAATTGACTCCTTTCTTAAAACATTTTCCCCTTAGACTTCATAATATATTATCTTGATTGTTGCAATAGTTTAAAGAGGCTTCTACTCAGATTCTTTTACTGGGAACTCTTTTACTTCTTCTCCCGAAATGCAGACATTCCTGAAGATTCTGTCCTTGTCCTCTCTTGCACTTTCACAGGGATCCATGCCACACACAATTATGATTTCTAAATAGATTTGCCCTGCCTATAGTGCTGTCCACAATTGCTACCTTATCCAGTACCTCCTGAAAAGCTGTGAAAGGAGTCTTGTCATATTTCCCAAACCAATTCATGTCAAAGCAATGCATAATCTTTATCTCGAAACTAGTTCCTCCATCTGTTTCCATTCTCATTGAATGAAAGCCCTCTTCTCCTTGTCATTCAGATGAAAAACTCCAGTTGTCTCAATTTCTGGTTTCCTTATTCCAGTTCAATAAATTACCAGATCAATCATTCACTTATATATTCATCAGCTATTTACTGATGACACACTGTATGACAACATAATATGCCGTGGGACTGTGGTGGGCAAACATGAAAACAGATATTTACTGAGTACTTGATACATGCTGGATACTGGGCATACATAGACCCTCTGGCTCATATTTTCAACGTGATTTTAAAGTTGGAGACAGAGGTGGAAACAAATCCTTTAAAATCTGCTAAGATAGAAGCTGAAATTCAGGAATACACAAGTTGTTTTGGGAACACAGAGCAGGGCACCTAAAGCTATGTACATAACAGAAGGGAAATTCCTGAAGCACTTACACCAAATCTTAGTGGTTAAGCAGAAGATGAGGATGAAGGGTAGAAGGCAAAAGAAAACAGTATTAGCAAATACACCAAATAGTAAAGCTTGATCATATATTTTGGTCAAGTTAAATAGTTTGGTATTGTTATAACATCAACTGTGGAATATGTGTGGAGAGAGGAAGGTGAAACAGGACAGATATGGGAAGGTCAGATCTTCAAAGGTTTGGTCTTGCTGAAACCGGTTTGGTTCAGTGGATAGAGCTTTAGCCTGCGGACTGAAGGGCCCCAGGTTCGATTCTGGTCAAGGGCACGAACCTTGGTTGGGAAGCACATCC